TTTTAAGATAAAAAAAGAATTACCGCCAGATGCGTCAACGATTTTGAAGTACGCTCTTCTATTAATGTATGATTTGAGGTCTATTTTATAACCATAAAATTTTCCTTCTATCTGCGATGTTCATATTTAGTGCTTATGTTGCAAATGCACAATGGCTTTCGCAGAAACTTTATACGCGACAGTTACAGTGGAATTTTGTTAATGTATGTATATTGCAATATACGCGTGCGCGTTCCATGCATTGAGTTACCTTTGTGTACAATTACAAGAAATTTGAAGGAAGGCATAGAGAAGAAGTGGGAAGAAAAATGAGAGTATATATATGTACATTGTACGATTGCGCATAGAGATGTGAGGGATGAGATAATAAAGGCCGATACAACAGTAAGAGTAGTTTATTAAGCATTACGCACGAATTCTCAGTGATGTAATGATACCACGTGACTCGCCACATGGATGTTGAATGTGGCATGTCACCTGTCTGCTCTATTTTGTCTACACCAAAATTAAACGTAAACATTGCGTTTAAAATATTACTTATTTTAATAATATTTATTCTGTTCTAGAATTACATTCTTTTAAAAATAGTAATTTAACTTTACATCATTTGGAATGTCATTCAGGCATAACAGAGATGAAATAAAAGATGATGTAAACAGAGTAGAAAATAACGTTTCAGGTTACAACATCATCTTTATGGTATTGTACAACGCTTAATTATTAACTTATTTCATAATTTTGTTTTTTCAAAGCGGAGCATTATTTCTACCATCAAAAAGTTTCATATTCGTTTGTTTCTCGGTGTAGTAGTAATTTTTAAGGAATCGAAAAAATATTTTTACGTCAAGGATATGAACGGAAGGAAAAAGTGATATTCATTTGCAAATCATAATTTAAATTGAAGGGGTGTTTCTTTGAAATATTGCTGTTATTAACAACCTAATTAAGTATGTCATTTTATATTATTTTAAATTTAATTATGAAAATGAAACTAACATGAAAATAACAAATAGTTGTGCGCAATATGCGTAATGATTAATATAAGAAAGCCGTTACTTTTATGGTGGACTGTACAGTCACACCACACAGCATGCCAACTGCAATGGAAATTTCCACTGAAGCAGTCGGTTGCCACCGTCTTGTAGACGCTTCGTAGCCGCGCCTAAAAACCAGATTGCGTCCGCCGGGAGACTAAACCGAAGGCCGTTCTTACCTTTTTGATCGATTAGTTTCGATTGGTTGGACTTGCAGTTTTCCGGGTCACCTAGTAATTTAAGTACATCCCTTTCGAAACAACTCGTAATTGCAAACCTTATTATTCTCTTTTCATATAATAAATGACAATGTTCTATAGCTGATTGTGAGAGCCAGCTGTGGACTTTATAAATTTCAAATCAACCAACAATTTCTGTTAAATTAGTTATTTTACTTTTAATTAATATTGTCCGTTTGATCTTCTATAATTTTAGTACAATTAAAGTCAATTGTAAGAATTTGTTTTGTCATATCTTTCTAGCTTTATGTAGTAATTTATGTAACAGTAATTTTTGAAAGATGAATACATATATTTTTATTCGTCGTTGTACAAGTATGCAATAATTAAGCAAAATAAAACTTGTTAAATAAATAAAATTTTGGTAAAGGCTAGTAGAAGCATAATGACATGGCGAAATAGAATATGAGATATCTATTCCGGTTGAGTAACATTTAATGAAATTGTTAAAATACACAACCACCGTTCATTGGTGTTCCTCTTAATAAAGCTCGTATCTGTATACCGCAGACAAGGTTTCCTGCGACTATGACTCAGGAGTGCCATTATCAGCGTACAATGTTTCCATTAGTGGAATTTTTGGCGGCAATGACTGAATACATGACTATAGCAAGTGAACCTCGTTTAAAAATAAAAAGTCATGATATATTTATGTACTAATTATAACAACTCGTACGTGCTAAATTAGGTAGAATAATTCGGTTAAACCCGCTCTATGAATGCAGATGCATTAATTTCATCACAAATAGGCTGTGATTACAGATATAGAAATATAAACACAGCTGTGATTACAAATTGACTTTATTATTAGAACAGGGCATATACATTTTGATCGAAGATAAATTTCATTCAGATGAATATATAAAAGCTGCTTTAATCTTCATAATAATTTAATACAATTCTTACTTTTACCTTCAGTATCACTTCATGCGTAATAAAGTTAACTCTAACCGAAGACAACAATATATATTACGTTCAGTGTAACATTATTCGACATGAAAATGTAAAATGTTTTATGCGAACAAAGTGCAAAGGGAAATCGCGATATAAACGAGACCACGAAACGGCCATGAAATGACGTAAAAGGAAAGAACGCGCTTTCGACTTTTCTCTGACGTAAAAAACGTTTCATCTTGGGAGGAAGCACGCTAGGAATTTTAAGCTCGCAACGTCGTCGCGACGTCTCAAGAATAGAACACTTCGTGCCCGACCAACGTTATATAGAAACGCCGCATACTTTTGGTAGGAAATGTACCCGGGGGTCGAGGGGCCTCGCGTGGCCTGGTCCCCTCCCAAGATAAGAAGGCCTCAGGGGCCCGGTTGGACGTTTGCCATACCGTTTGCAAGACTTCCACGCCTTTGTATTAGAAATGTACGCCGTTCGATCAACTCCATGCACGCACTTGTATTCGGTACGATTAAAGGTACGTTTTCACGTGACAGTAAATCGTGACTTTTACCGTCATGACACAATATGTCTTCACTTTTGTCATCATGAAAACTAGAAGTTGCATTGTCATGACGCTGGATTTCGTGTCGCGATTTCATTGTCAAATTATTTTGATTTTTGTGTGACATTTGTGGAAACTGCATTGTCATTTGTTGTGGTCCACGTGGAAATACGAGGCTTGAAGTCTTCATTTTACTGATTTTGAAAAAATACAGAAAGTTTGAGGTTATCATCAATTTTTACGAAAAGTACCTTCTCAAAAGAATTTTCATCACTGTAACTATTGAACATACTAACCTCGATTTTTTTTTACTTAATCGTAGAGGATTGACCTTTTCAATCAGTTTTTTGTTTTATTCGTAAAGTGATTTTGCAGTATCAAAGTATTAGAAATACTCTTATTCTGGTAACATTAAATTTTTTAACTAAAACAGCACAAACTTATTCGATAACTTTAATGAATCATTTATAGTGTGTTTAGGTAATCTGCAGTAGGTATGTGTAGGTTTTCTGAATTATTTATAGCTATTGTCGAATGACTAGCCCTCTCTTGGCCATGATTAACAAAAGAGGCAACACGATAAGCGGTGTTTTTCAGATTCCTTCAAAACAAGTTAAGTAGTCACTGTGCATTACATTCCAAAAGAAAGTCCAAATCCGCAACACCGACTTATTCATGTCGTAGCTAAGGGGTAAGGGCTAAGGTTATCATCTCCCCATCAAATACTCACAGTATATACATATATATATATA